TTTGCTCATGGATAGAGTGTGGGATGTGAGGGAAGAAAAAGTCAGGTAGGATGCCGAGGTTTTCAGTCAGCCAACTGAAAAACCAGGATGGCTGTCACGGACTCGTGAAGGGTAGTAAGAGAACAACTTTGGAGGAGTGGAAGACTCTTCGGGGCACGTTACGTCTGAGAAAACTATTCAGATCTATCCAGACGGAGGTGTTGGGTAGGCAACTGACCACATGAGCCTGGAGTTTATATGTACAAATACAATACACAACATATAGATTAAACAGTACAGCAACCGCAACACGTAACAGGTAGACCAGTAGCCCAAAAATATACCACATGAGCTGTTCAATAAATGCATATGTCAGCACAGCACGTTAACCTGTCCTTGTCCCCACACAGTTCACTTGTAATACACAACACATAAACTTGCAGTGGAGAAAACACACAGTCATGCATGTATACACAAAACCCAAACCTGAGGCTAGTGTATGCACCCTAGAAAGAAAAGGAAAAAAAAAAAAAAAAAAGGAAATCACCTCAAGATGCACTCTAACCTAGCTCCTGCCCTCAGGGAGGTGAGGTGTCCTTGCCCTCACTTTGGAGTGAGGAAAGCCAGCCTTCCTCCTTCCCCATCCACGCTCCGAGCCCTGTGTTGTGTGCTGTCTACATCACAGTGGTTCTCACCCGTCCTTTCTTGGGAATAGTCTTTATCACTTCACACAGGTCACAGCCCCAGGCCCTGCATGGCTCTTGACGGTCCTACCCTATCCCTGAGGAGCACATTATCCTGGCAGAGATGTAGTGACAGGGACCAGGTGGCCAGCAGAAAACAAGTGGGAAAAGGCCCTGGCAGCTCCAGGCACAGGTGTAGCTAAGAGCTGCCACTCATACAATGTTGGTGCCTGATTGGTGGCCCGGTCCATCTAAAAATAGCCGACGGGAGTCAGTGCTAGGCCCTCATTGGCCTGTGGGACAGTGACGTTCACATGGAGGATCCAGAAACGTCTAGGTCACTGATGAGCTCCCTAAAATGGAACCTAAGTCCAAAAGTGGCTTTGTGTATACCGGGCAGTTGTGTGTTGCACATAGAGTCGGTGTTGTGTATCACGTGCACCCCATCTCTGCTGTTGGTTCAGGGAAAGGAGCAAACTCATCACCCTGCTCAGAGGACCCTTGGTGATCGGCCCCTGCTCATCTCAGCTTCATCTATTGCCATGTTCCTAGACACGCGGCATCAACATCAACAACCTCCTTAGGACCCCCCTCCCTAAGTCTCAGCCCTGATGTCTGTCTCCATACTGAGCCGTCTAAGACACGCTCAGATGGCCCCTCTTGACTATGGCAGTGAGGCCCCAAGTGGAGAAGGGCATGGTGATTGCTGGGAAGAAATGCATTCTAGGCAGAGGGGACAACGTGAGCAAAGGCTCCAAGGCAGCTGAGCCCTGCCAAGGCAAGGTGATGACGGGCAATCCAGCAAACTGGAATCAAGTGTGTTAGAGGGGTGACTGAGAAGGCTGGACAGGGAGCTTGGGAAGACCTTCATAGCAGGCCCAAGGAAGTGGGGAGTCAAAAGACTGGGGAGGGAGTCAGCAGGTGGCGTAGTGGTTAAGGCACTGGACTCCCACACGGTTGACTGATTTGAATCCCAGACATGGTGGCATGAAACTCACAGTGGGCACATGTGCATGTGTGTCCCGAATCCCAAGAGGAGAATGGAGAAGGGACTGCAGTGTGGCCATCCCCCCAGGGGTAATTTCTCACTTTCTGTGTCTCTGGCAAGCACATGTGCCCTATAACAAAAATCTCTCAGGGGAAAAAAAAGATCGGGGTGAGTTTATACCTAATAAAAATAATAATAATAATCCTTCTGTTATGCATGGTGCTTTGCATTTTATGCTTCTTGTACTCCTTGTTTCAACCACTCCTAACCTGTGAGGCAGAGATCAGAGGGAAACCAGTACAGAGTTTTGGTCTCCAGACTGCCTGCCTCTTGCACTGACCTGTTCTCTCGACCTCCCTGCCTGGCAGCTGGCAAGAGCCCGTCCCTAATCTTCACTAACCGGCACGAGGTGCGGAGGATAGACCTGGTGAAGCGGGACTACTCACGTCTCATCCCCATGCTCAAGAATGTTGTGGCGCTGGATGTCGAAGTTGCCACCAATCGCATCTACTGGTGTGACCTCTCCTACCGCAAGATCTATAGGTGAGCAGTGGCGTGTTCCCTGGAGGGCTGTGGGTAAGGGGCAGCTGACTAGAGGAGGAGAGGAAGGGTGGCCTTTGTCTTTAGAGTTCCCAGGACAGAGTCGAGGCTCGGGAAGAGCTAGCTGCAGGATCACAGCGGATTTGGAACTGCCAGGACTTCCCCCTCTAGGCTCACTTAGGCTGAGGGTGCTTTTGGGAGAGCAGCGTGAGCTCCACCCACTTGGGCTTCGTCTGACCTCTGGTGCCTTAGTGGGGAAGTGCAAGATAGGAAATGTTCAGCCAAGGGGCAGAAAGGAAGGGTTCTCTGATTTTGGTGAGGACTTTCACAGCAGCTCACATCTCTGTGTGTCAGGCCATGGGGACTCATAGGTAATTTAGACCTGGTCCCTGCCTGGATAATTCCACCCATAACAGTGAGTCCATTGTGATGATCACGTGGGAAAGAACAGAAGAAGCCCCTGATCCAATCTGGACGTCTGGGAAGTCTTTATGTGTGGCACTGCCCCAGCCCAGCCTTCACGGTGTCTGTGATGCCAGTCATAGGACTGTGGTCCTGGGAAGCTCCTTACACACCCGAGGAGGTTCTCTGTAATGTCCTGCTCAGATGCTCCAGCCCACTCGTGGCAGGCCTGGACCCTTTTTGGTCAGCTGCATCCTTTCTTTGTCCTGAGAGCTGCTTGACAGGACTGCTGATAATGAGTCTTTGTTGAAAAAATGATGGGAGGCAGCCCCATGACCTGATGGCTAAGGGAGCCAGATCTCACATGGCTGACCACAGTTCAAATCCTGACTTGATAAACATGCCAGGCACATGGGTATGCATGTTCCAAATCCCGACAAGATGGAGAAATGGAGAAGAAATTGTAGCAAGACCAGCCCAATTGAGGGTGCTTTCTCCTGCTTCCTCTCCTTGTGTCTCTGTCTTTCTCTGGCAAACACACACACCCTCTGGCCAACACATAAATGAATGAATTAATAAATAAATAAAAAGAAAGCAAAGCAAAGATAGGATAAGTGGATAGGTAGATGGAAGCAAATATACCAAGTGCTACTCACCGACGGCTGGATTCCTGCCTTTCCCCCAGCACAGACATACTCAGTTCACACTTACACACCTAGAAACTGCTAGAGCAGAGCTGTCCAGCAGTTTTGCCTGAAAGAGGCAGGACTTGACAACATTCTGGATAGGGAGCCAAAAGAGAAAGAGTCAGAATTCACTCCCAGGTTAATTTGGGAGTTTCAGGCTTCTGGCGTGGGAGGTTTTACGGACGGTGGTGCTGTTCTCTGATGGGACACACTGGTGGGGGACTGGGGTTGGGAGCAGTCTGGCTGAAGGGAGGGGAATGGAGGTGAGCAGTTTGAGACCTGTAGAGTTCAAGGTATTATGGGACATCCATGGGGAGCTGGCTGGCTTTGCAGTCTGGAACTGAAGAGGGTTGTTGGGAATGGAGAGTCAGCGTATGAATGGAAGTGGGAGCTGTGGGACCAACCACACGGAGAGAGGGTATGGGGGCATATGGAAACCTCGGGGTAAAGCAGCCTTTGTGAAACAGAAAGTCCCGCTGCAGCTGCTCCTGAATGCCTACCGAGTTATCAGCCCCTTGGCAACACGTCAGCACAGCCCTTCCTCAGGCCCCTTCGTCTCAGCTGGAAGCTCTAACAGCCCCCTCCCAGCCTCCTGTCTTCATTCCCTGTCCTTTCCATTCATCCATCCACAGGTGCACAGTGGTCTAACATGCCTGTCTGACCATGTCCTAACCCAATCAGTTTCCCCACCCACCCTGCCCTAGGATACAATCCTGGTTCCTTAGCCTGGCCCTCAGAGCTGTCGGCGAGGTCCCTGCCAACATTTATTTCTAGCCTCACGTACATCCCACATGCCTGGTGCTACCCTACTGAACATCTCTCTGCTCCAAAACATTCTCGCCTCTGGACATCTGCACATGCAGCTCTCTGCCCCTCGTGGTCCTGGTAAACTGGTCCACCAGGACTCAACTACAAAGCCGCCTCCCACTCCCCAGGATGACGTGGTTCTCATTTCTCTGCAGCCACAGCTTCTACTGCTTGTATCATACCTGCTGCACGTTTCAGTCCTCTGCTAACATGAGCTCTTCCAGACCAGAGACGAGACTGAGGCAGGCTTATATCCCTACCCTGGTGGCCGAGGGAGTATGTCGAATGGAAATTAGCCAAGTTCCTCCCAAATCCACTGCCATGGCCCAGAGGGAAGAGAGAGGGGAAGGGTGTGCAGACGGCTCCTCCAGGTGAACCGTGGGGGAGCATCTGCCTCACGGCCAGCTCTGGTCTCTCTTCAGCGCCTCCATGGACAAGGCCAGCGACCAGGCAGAGCAGAAAGTCCTCATTGACCAGCAGCTGCACTCGCCGGAGGGCCTGGCGGTGGACTGGGTCCACAAGCACATCTACTGGACTGACTCGGGCAATAAGACCATCTCGGTGGCCACGGTCGACGGCAGACGCCGGTGCACTCTTTTCAGCCAGGACCTCAGTGAACCTCGGGCCATCGCCGTTGACCCCTTGCGAGGGTAAGTGTCCCCACTCTGAACATCTCATATCCTGACCGTAGGCACTTTCGGTCCTCATGTGTCTGTCATGAGAGCTATCTTGAGGGCTCTAGAAGGCTCTGGGCCGCTCAGACAGCCCTGGAGGAAAAGTCCTGTGTGCGGATTTCCACCTGTTAATCCCCAACCAGGATTCTTTGGGTATTGGCCACCGGGTTCTCCCTGGACCCTCCCATTCTCATTTATCACAGAAGAGCAGAGCAGGCTCTAGAAAGTGCCTGGGAGAAAGCCCCAGGACAGGAAGCCTTGCCTTAGGCTGCTGCAGGTGGACATCTGGCAGCTGCTCACACAGTTTCAGGGATAGGGAGCTCCCTACTTCCCACAGGGCATTGTGGGGCAGCTCTGCCCATTAGAAAGTGTGCTTTCTTGGGACCAGTGGATGGCATAATGATTGCATCGCTGGACTTACACATAGTCAACTACAGTTTGAGTCCTGGACCTGGGGGCTTAAACCCCAGGCGCATGTGCGTGCATGCCCAAGATCCCGAGAGGAGAATAGAGGAGAAGGGATTGTGGAGTGGCCATCCCCCTGGATGGTGGTTTCTCACTTTCTGTCTCTCTGGCAAGTGCATGCGCCCTATACCAAAAATCTCTCTGAATTAAAAAAAAAGAAAGTGCAGTGTCTTGTTCTCGTCACTTCCTCTATTGGCCTCTAGACTTCCATAAAACACGTCAGCTCCCTGCCCTGCAGGACGGCTAGCAAGGTCTGAGGACCACGGTCACAAGGTCTGCTCTGCTCCCAGCTGCCCACCTCTATCCTACCCGTTTTCACAGTCTTGGGGCCCCTCACCACCAGGGCTGCCCTGCTCGGGCCCTACCCCAGCTTTGGGCACTGGGGATTATGAACAGGACAGGACCCCTCCCTCCCTCTGTGGGATGTCCTGAGGTGGCAGCAGCCTTTAGTAGCCATGTCACGTCAAGTGTACCACCATTACCTGCTGTTCCGTCTGCTGTTCCCTTCATTGTTAAACGAGGATAAGAAAATCCTCTTTTTCCAAGGAGGACGGCTGAGTGAAGGGGGCATGTAAGAGGATATGCAAGAGGCCAGGCCTCAGGAAGTGACTGACAGCTGCCATTTACCGAGTGTGGGTCAGGTGCTCTCAGCGCAGTATGAGGCACTCCAACAGATACTGAGTCCTCCCATCCACCCCTCACTTCAACTCCATCCCCTGTCCCCAGTTCCCACATAGCTGGTGTGGCAGCTGTCCTCCAAACCACACAGTTACACCCGGTCCACCCAGGCCCGCTGTGGATCTGTCAGGGTCCCAGCAGGAGTCCTACTGCACACTCAGAATAATCGGAGGACACTGTTTACAAAGGAGCAGGGACCGTCGCCTGCACTCCCTTGAATTAGTAACAGTGGACTGCCACCAGCCTCGCAGACACCCCCCCCCG